GGGACCTCAGTTTGCAGGTGACAGGGACAGTGTGTTCCTCCTCCCTGGGAAAACTTTAGGCCCTCTGGGTGTGGCAAGGAGGGGAGCCTGGAGCTGGGCCTTATTCTTTAAGGCAGAGTAGTCCCTGAGCTGAAGGTATTCTTACCGCAGAGAAGGAGAGGGGCCCTGATCCCATCTTTGCCTCGCTCTAGTGGGAACAGCATGGCCCTGAGTCACTGAGGGCTAGACCTCAGGGAAGCCATAAGAAGGTCAGCTTGCCTGCCTGTCCTTCCTTCCTGTTCCTTCATTAACAGCTTCAGCAACTGCCTCCTAAGAAGGTGGAAAGGAAAGAGCTGCCCCCAGAGCATCAGTCCTTGAAGACTAGCTTTGAGGGACTTCTCCAGCACTGCTCACTGTCTGCAACTGATTTTGTAAGTTTGGACCTTCTGCAGTACCCTCCTCACACCTTCAGCTGGCTCCAGGATGCCTTGGATGTAGACCAGTTCCCTCACTGTCCCTGGATATGGTGACTGCATCTTGTACTCCTGTGATGTCCATAGCGAGTACAGGAGGCAGTTGGAGTGTGTTCTGAAGTCTAGCTCCTAGGTAGCAGGAGCCAACAGCATGGAAACCTAAGGGTAGCAGGGAGTACAGGAAGAGGGTGGGCCAGGAGGAAGCGATACTGCTATTCATTTGCTAGCTGGGTCAGCTTGAGCCAGTAACTTACCATCTTTGGGCTTCCTTTCTTCCTGTGTGAAATGAGGGAAGCAGCATTGAGCCGTTCTATCTTTAATCTACTCCTGTATAGTGTCAGACTTAGGGGCTGGGTCAGAATCTGTTTCCCTCTCTGCAGAAGACAAGAAGGAAGCTGGATGAGGCGGCCCAGTGCCTAGAAGGTCTACACGAGAAGCTGTGTGAAGGGACAGTAAGTACCTAGCTGTGCTCTGCCCTGTGCCCTCCCCGACTGCCCATAGCCAAAGTAGCACAGTGTCTTTTGTTCCTGTGGGTCTTTACAAACCTGCCCCTGCCTACAAATACAACTTGCCTGGATTGTGTGCTAGAACCTGAGTGCTCTCTTATGCCCCCCATTCTGCCAGGGTAGGGGTAGGGGAGGCTCACTAACCTCAGGGTCAATTTCCACAGCTCTCACCGCATGTTGTGGCTGGGCTTCATGAAGCTGCCCGATGTGTGGATGCAGGAAGTTTCGCACAGGGCCTTGAGGTACATGCCCAGGTGGCAGGCTGCAGCAACTTCAGTGGTGTCCAGCTTCATGCCTGTCCTGAAGGCTGTCCTCAGCATTGCCCATAAGCTGCAAGGCTGGGCCAGGCAGCCTTTTGCCAGGGGCCACTTCTGCTGTCATTTGCCTCCTGCAGATCGAGTTTATTTCCCAACCCCTTACCCTGCTGCTCAGTATATGAGGCTATAGGTTCAGATCGAACAGCTGAGGACCTGCTTTTCACCCTTTTGTGTCTGGCCACTTAGGGTCCCTCCACGGTATCCTCTGTCTGGGGGCAGGGTGGAGAGCCAGGTCTTACCTTTCTGATCCCTCCCCCAGGGATGCTCTGTTCCAGTCGCTTCTGCGTCATTGCTTCCAAGTCTACCTCTGAGTCTGACCTCACCTTATTTCTGCCTCTGGTTTCATATTTTCAAGGCTATATTCCTCTGTAGCCCCGCGGGCTGGTAGAGAGTTGGCTTTTTTTCGCCCTTTGAACAAGTCTTGATGTGAGGGCTTGGAGTTGGGCAGAATCAGAGAGGAAACTCAGGTCCCTTTTAAATGGAATTTCTCATGTGCCAGCATTACTAAGGGGGGGCTGGGTTAGGGGACAGCTAGAAGGGGTGAATGAACTGCCTTTTGCTGGAGGCTGTCTTAGGTCAGAAGGTGGGAGCGGAAGGACCCCAGTGTCTTGGGAAAAGCCCTCAGCTCCACTTGGATTTGAACCTGGCCCAAGGCCTTAGGCTGATCGTTCTGTGGGGATCAGCCACACTGCACAGGAGCCATGTGAGCAAAAGATTGTCCTTCGGCACTGCTTCTCACGGCTTGGGGCCTTTCTCCCTGTTAGCCCCCGCACAGCTCAGGGCTGCCCTCTGATTGCAGGTTCGTGGACAAACAGCATTGGGCACACTGATGTATTTAAGAGTGCGATGAAGCTGCTTTGGTGAGGCTCCTTCAGTCCATCTCCCAACTGTTGCCTCCTCGGGGCCTGTTTTGCCATTTCCTGTCTTTCACACTTTCAGCCCGCTCCCATGGACTTGCTGATCGTTGCCATACATGCGTGCCTGTCTGTGTGTGTCCCTGTGTGCATTCGTGCCCGATGTCAGCTCCGGAGCTTTCTCCACACCACTTCAGGGCTGAGCTGCACAAAAGCACTGGGTGTGAAGCCAGGGGCTGCTGGGCCTAACCCTGTCTTCGATCCCATCGTGTCTGCAGGCTAGATGTGTGTGTTTGGAGGGAGGGATTGTTAGGCAGTATTTGTTTGTAAAGCCACTTGCTCTTCAGATAATACTTGCACTAACTTCTATTGATGAAGCAGTGTGAGCCCCAGCAAAGTCCTTTCCCAAAGTGTCTTTGAAGCCAAGAGCCCATTGAAGGGAAGAAAGGCTGGGAGAGGGGATTAGTTTGTTCAGCAGCTGTGAATTTCAGTGGGAGGTTGATGAACTCTGAGGTTTTTGTTTAAATTAAAGGGGGGGAGAGAAAAGCCGCTGCTGGAGCAGTGGCCCTGCTTGGAGCCCTGAACTAACACAAGAAGAAGTCTGAGCTGCAGGGCGCTGTGTCCCAACTGGGAAGACTTTTCCCAAACACTTTCCGAAATGCTGTTGTGAGAAGAGAAGGGGCGGACTGGCGGATTAACATGTGAAATGAAGTTTTCATTGACTCCAGTGGGGGTACACGGCTATTTTAATGGCATTTTGTTCCCCTATTTTCTCTTCCTGAGCTCTTTAGAGATATTGTTTTGCTAAGACAGGCTTTCTTTCCCCTTCTCTCCAGTCTGAGGACTGCCTCTATGGGAGCCAACATAAATATTTCTCCTGCAGGAATGCGGGTTAATTAAAAGGAAATGAATGAGTGGAAGCATCCAATCCAGCCCCACAATAGGCGAGTGCCCCGGCCTGCTCTCCCCTCCACCACCAGCAGCACCACCAGCATGCTGACATGACCTGTCTGTCTCTGCCCCGACCCAGCTGAGGCCAGTTAAAGTGGGAATTCTTTTCAAAAACGTGACCCCTGCCTGTGTGTAGGCCCACAGGCCAGGCCCAGGAAGGGGATGGGGTTTTGCCCCCCTACCCCATGTTCTTGTCACTTCTCAGGACCTCCCTCTGCTTCTGCCCTCAAGTGGAGGGAGATGGGCTCCTAAAGAGCACCGAGAGGTGGGCAGGGCCTGGATCCCAGCGCTCATCCCAAGCTCACTTACAGGGCCTCTCGGCATCAGCCTAAGTCTGTAAGACACAGGGTTTGACTACCTGACCTCCAAGGTGTCTCCCCAAGCCACAGTTCTGGAGTTGCCCACGTTGGTGAGGGGGACACGGCCGTGGTTTCCGAGTGTGAGACAAGGACCCACGAGTGCAAGATGCCAGTGTGTGGCTCACAGTGTCTCCACGCCAGTGCCTCCTGAGTAAACAACGCATAAAGCAAAGGGGGTGGAGGAGGGCCAGTAAGATCTAGGAGCTCTGTAACTTCCTCTTTGCAGAACTCGGGTGGGTCTGGTATTAGCCCCCTACTGGGGGATTCAGTGAGAACTTTCTGACAGTGTGACGTGTTTAGAATGGTGACCCGAAGTTCGCAAATATGGAGCATAGTAAGTCTCCTACTTTTATGCTGAGATGCAGCTTTGCCTTGCCACACTGTACTTTTATATTTTCTAACTGCCTTGCCACATTTTCTTCATGAACACTATCATGTTAACTCTGGCAAATGGCACAGCTTAGTGAAGTCGCTGCTTGATTAGGGAAGGTGACTTAAGAGGCCCAGACGAGCTGAAGGAATGAGGAAAGGACCCTTTGTTAATAAAACTGGAAATGAAGCACTGAGGGACCCTGAAGAGATGTATGCCCCGTGGTAGGAAGGGCCGCCTCTTCCAGTGAGTGTTAGTAGGACCAGAAGACGTGGGAGAGTAGGGCCAGGGGCCTTGGCTCAGTTTGCCATACGAGAGCTCTTCTTGTCCTGGTCAGCCCCTAGAACTTTAGTTTTGTGGCCTCTGCACTTTCTCCTACCCTAGGAGAAGAGGGTGCAGACCAGCTCTGCAGAGAAGCTGCCTGGTGCCAGACCCAGGGCTAGCGCAGGACAAAGGAGTAGGCTGGGAAGCTCCTTGGGCTGCAGGGAATTTTCGCTTCCTTGGCTAGAGCTCTGTTTCATAAACAAGTCCCTGCTGAACTGCTTCTGTCAGAGAATGCAACTGGAAGACTCTATCACAGCAGCAAGCTCCTGGCTCTTGAGTGAGAGGGAATGTGTCTGTGGAAGATGATGTGCAGGCAGTCAAGTCAGGCTCACTGTGCAGGCCATCAGGGAAGCAGGGCTCTTGGGAGGTTTTGTATCCCGCTGAGGACGGAGGGAGGAGAGAGCCTAGAGGTTGACTCACCCTACCCTGCTCCCCTATCCTGCATAGTAAGTGCAGTACCTGAAGTGGAGAGGGTGGCACATATCACAGTGACTGCAATCAATTAAAGTTCAAGGTGCTGAAGTTCGTATTAGCAACAGCTTCACTGCAGGAAGTTCCCTCACTGAAGGAAGGTGTCCAGTGCCTATTGAGAACCAGCTTGTCCCTCCAATGACTTGCCTTCAGAGGTGCAGACCAGGTTCTGGAAGGGAAATTGGCTTTATTTACCTCTGTCTTGGCTCCTTTGGGGAAGGAGAAAAAGTGGTTTCGCTGCCAGGACAAAATAGGCTAGGAGCAGGGAAAGCTAGCTTTAAAGGGTAGGAAATGCCTGGTACCCTGTTCTTACACAGTCAGTCCCTAGTCCTCTTGGATGTGTCTGGAATATTCCGGGGGACTGTTAGGCAGGTCCTGTAGAGAAGCAGTGTCGGGAGGATGGGTGGGGAGCCCAGGCCTCCCTCCTCCCCGGGTCCCACCTTAGCTGCCTCCAAGGTATGCCTGGTCCCAGGTCTGTTTCCTCATGGTTTCTTTTTAGTAGTGAAGAAGGAAAGCGTTAGATATTTCTGTGGACGCTATCCACAGCAGGGACTCAGAAGCCATGGGCAGGGCTCTGCAGGAAGAGAGCCAGGGAGGGGTGCTGCAGGCTTGGTAGCAGACGGCAGGCAAAGGGAAATGCCTGGGCTTCACCCGGGGCCTGCGTCTAAGAAAGGTCCTTTCCTTTCCGGAGGCTCGATAGGCGAGGCCAGGCACAGGGCAGCTGGGGAGCTGTGGTGGGAGGCCTAGAGTCTTCCTAGTCCGCGGAAGATCCATGGAGCTCGGTGTTAGCACAGCTCTCAGACCCAGGTCTGGGAGGAGCGCGCAGAGGAGCTGGGAAACCCTCCTGGCAAGTGCGAGCTTGGGGAGAACGCATCTTTCCCTCAGGACTCGGGGCTTGGGGGCGCAGGGTGCCCGGCCCCGGCTCCCCGGTACTGGAATCTAACAGAAGCCCCGACAGGCGAGGGAGGCCTCAGGGCTTTAGCCCCGGGCCGGGCGCAGCGCTTCCCGCGCCCGCTCCGCGCGGCTGCAGAAGAACTTGGCGACGCGGCGGCGGCACTGGTCGCAGCGGACCGCGCAGCACCAGTGGAACTTGCAGTTGCAGCTCGTCACGGTCTCGGCGCGGCGCTCCTCCACCGCCAGCCCGCAGTCCCCGCACAGCCGGCGGCAGCTGCGGCGCTCCCAGCGGCCCAGTGCCCGCCCTCGCCGAAGGCACTCGCGGCCCTCCGTGCCCAGCAGCCCGAGCGTCTTGTTCTCCAGGCAGTAGTCGGGCGAGTCCTCCAGGTGCACCAGCTCGCGCGTGGAGATGGCACGGAAGGTGTCGGCGATGGCGCCGCGGCCCGCCGCGCTGTTGCCGGCGCCCTGCAGCAGCTCCACCTTGAGCGCCGCGTGGTACTTCTCTTTCAGGTGCGCGCCCACCTCGCGGAACTCGGGCAGCTGCAGCCAGCAGGTCTGCGTGGTGCAGCTGCCGGACACGCCGTGGCACTTGCACGTGCGCTTCATGGTGCCCTGGACCGCCTGGGGAGAGAGCGGGTGAGCCCGGCGCCGCCCGCCCGCCCGTGAGGTGCGGGCGCCGCACGGGCAGGGCCTAGCCCGGCTCACCTTGCGTCCGGCCTCGTTGTTGTGCAGGTTCATAGCTGCCCGGGCGTCCTGTCCCGTCTCCAGGGCATCGACGAACTGTTTGGAAATCGCCTCTCCGAAGCCCACGTTGTCACTGCAGCCTCCCCACAGCCAGCCTTGGCCCCCTGGAAAAGCGGAAGTGGCTCTGCGTCCAGAGTTTCCCACATGGGTGTTTCTAATTGCTGGGCAGGGGTGGGGTCGGACCGGAAAGGATTCAGGGTGGGCCAGCGCCCTGGCTCCGGATTCCTCTGCGTCTGCAAGGTTTGTTGCTGTTGCCGTTCCCACCGCCAGCCTCAGCCGCCCCAGCCCGGGGGCCTCCCACTCCTGCAGAAGCGGAGCACGGGAGAGGCGGCAGGAAGAGCCGGGAGTTCCGTCGTCTAGAGGGAGAGGGGCGCGATGGAAACAGGGAGGAACGAGGAGGTCGGAAACGGAGCAGGGAGGCCCGGGGCCGGGGCCACAGTGGCGGGAAAGGGCGGAAAGCAGAGGCACAGGAAACAGGTGTTTGAGAGCAGAGCAGGGGCTCCCTGCGGGGCGTTGTTCCCTCGCCGTCGTTACCGTGCTGGAAGGAACCGCCCAGTGCGAGAAGAAGGCTACATGAAGCCTGGTTTTCCCGTGCAGGATTCGGGCTCAGACTGGGTCACTCTCTCAGTGTGATTTTCATACGACAAAGCCTGACTGTGTAGCCCAGGCTGGCCGTGAACCCCCATCTTCTGGCCCAGCCCTCACCAGTGCTGGGATCCCAGGCGAGCCCCACAGCAGCTGCCTGTCGTCAGGGTTCGGAGGGAGCGGCTGAGCCTCGCCCTTGACGTGAGCGGACCTGGCCGCTCTGACCCCGCAGCGTGACTCACCCCGTTGCCCGTTCCGGGAGTCATCGCAGCCACAGCTGTCGAAGTCTCCGAGGCTGCAGTTCCGAGTCAGGGTGTACATGACGCCCGCGGAGCTGATGGCGTGCACAAAGGCCGTCTCCCGGTTAGCTGGCGGGAGCCAAAGGGCGGAGAGTCGGGGAGAGACGTCGTAGCCCAAAGCGGCCCGATTTTAGTGCCTCCGCCAGAAGCTCGGTCCTATCGCCTCCTCTTTATGAGGAGCCGAACCCTCACCCAGTCTGCTCCATCCCTGGCCTCCTCCCATCCTTTCAGGCCATGCATTTTGGGACTAGGTGGGTGCGCTGTTGTCGACATGCACGATTATAAAGGGTCTGGGTGGGAAGAAGCCTGAGGAGGAGCCGAAGGAGATGAGTGTGGAGCCAGGTTGTGAAGAGCCCGCCTTCCCTTCCTCCTGGGACTGTGGAGCCTGAGAGGCATGCTCAGTTGATCTGCAGAGGAATCCCTGGCAGCCTTTCATTGCCTGGCGTGGCCACTATTTATCACCTCTATGGGAATCTGATTTCCCAGTGCAAGTTTTCTCTCGCCCAGTGCCTCTCGGCTGAGCAAGCTGAAAGCAGGGCTGACAGGTATGCGGAATTAGGACCCCGACCCTCCTCCTGATGTTACTTCCGCTGTCAGGAAACCTTTCGCTGATTGGGCAGCCAAGGATGAAATGGGATTGGAGATGAGACAAGGTCCATTTGTTCAGCAGAGAGGGTGTTGGGGTAGAAAGAAAAACACTCTATAGATGGGAAAGTGGAGGTAAAGAGAAGAGAAGAGCTGAGAAGAGGGAGATGTCTGAGAGAAGAGAGGAAGCGAATAAGGTGTGGGGGAAGAAAGGTGCCATTCCCAGGGGATCTGGGGACTTGTGGCCAAAGCTGTCCTTACCACTTCGAAGTCCACCATGGCTGGACAGCTGCAGTGCTCTCTCAGGGCAGTTCCAGCGGTCCCAGGCAAACTGATATTTGCATTCTTCGATTCCACTCTGGGCACCAGCTGCCACACTGCTGGAGTAGATCAGGTAAGCCTACGGGGTCAGAATTCAGCCTGAATTGAAGAGGCATTTGCCCAAAAGTTCTTGTCCATCCCTCCCAAACGATGTTGGAGGAAGCACTTTAAATATGCTGTCTCATTTAACCCTACAAATGACCTTATGAAACAGGGGCCATGGTATAGGTTAGGGAACGGAGGCTTAGAGAGCAGAAGTAAACTAAGTTGCCTAGGGTCCTATAGCTAGCAAATGGCAGAATTAGAAGAGAAACTTTTTCTTAGACTCTAGTTCCCACTAGCCTTTATTTGTTATATAAACTGCCTCTCCAAAACAAGCCCCAGCCATACAACTAATGAATTTTCAGCTATTCATACCCATTACTATGTCAGAAAATAACATTTTGAGCTTGGCATGGTAGCACATACCTCTAATTCTAGCTCCTCAGCAGGCTAAGGCTAGATGGTCACAAGTTGGAGGCCAGCCTGGGTAACAGGTCTTGTCTCAAAGGAGCCAAAAATATACATTGGAGAAAACACAGTTTCTTTAACAAGTGGTGCTGGGAAAACTGGACGTGCACTTGTAGCAGACTGAAACTAGACCCCTAGCTCTCACCCATACAGAAACCTAGGGTTAAGATCTGAAATTCTGAAACTGCTGACAGAAAACAGAGGAAACTCTTGGAGCCATAGGCACAGGCAAAGTCTTGCTGAATAGGACTCCAGTAGCCCAGGAAATAATAGCAAGAAGCTCAATAAACAGGAGTACTTCAAATTAAAGTTTATGCACAGCAAAGGAAACAACTAAGAGAGTGAATAGGCAGCCTACAGAATGGGAGACGATCTTTACTAGCTACTCTTCCAACAGAGGATTGATGCAGAGGTGCCTCAGTTCATGAACTTAACTCTTTCCGTGATTCTGATTGTGAACCTAATTGGTCACGAACTGAATCAAAATTTCCCATAAGGTTCAGTGTCGCCTGATGAGTTCATGCATGGAAGCAACATTTTGGCAAATGCTTCTGTTTGTGAACTGAACTGTTTGTAAACAGAAACATTTGTGAACTGAGGTACCACTGTATCTAGAATATATAACGAACTCAAGAAAGATAACACCAAAAAAAATCAAATAGCCTAATCAACAAATAGGCAAATTAATTGAATAGATGCTTCTCAAAAAAGAAATACAAATGGCCAATAAGTATATGAAAAAATGCTTAATATCTTTAGCCATTAGGGAAATGCAAATTGTCTTAGTCACTTCCCTCATTGCTGGTACAAAATACCCAACGGTTACAGCTTAAAGGAGGAAAGGTTTACTTTGGCTCATGTTTCAGTCCATGGCTGGCTCCACCGCAGGGTGGCATGGCAGAGGGGCATCACCGAGGAGAGCTGCTCACCTCGTGGTGGCCAGGAAGCAGTGAGAATGAAAGGAGATAAACCCTCCCAGGTCACACCCCTGGTAACCTGCCGCTCCTGACCAGATCTCACTCCCAACAGCAAGTCAGCTCCAGCGCCCCGTAATCCAATCACCTGCCCTACCTATGAGTGCATGAGACTCTCAGGGACATCTGCATATAAACCATAGCACAAATCAGAGCTATACTGAGATTCCATCTCACCCTAATAAGAATGGCTAACATCAAGAATACAAAAACAGTAAATGCTGGTGAGAGAGTGTAGGAGAAGGAACAAGGTGGGCGTGTAAGTTAATATGGCTACTATGGAAATCAATATGGAGGTTCCTCAAAAACTGAAAATATATCACTACCTGAAGCAGTTAAGACAGCATACCATAGGGATACTTGTATACCTGTGTTTACTGTGGCACCGTTCAAAATAGCCAAGACATAGAATCAGCCCAGACGCCTGTTATGACTTGTGTTTCTATAGACCCCCACCTCATGGGGTGACAAGGTGGGGCTTTTGAAGGTGGTTGGAACTAAGGTGGGTGATGCTGGGATGAAGGGTGCGTGATAAGTAGCCCACTGGTTGATTTAGCATAGTTTTGGGTGTGGATAATGGAAAGACCCACCGTGAGTGTGGGTGGCACTGTCCAAAGGGTGGGTAGCTGCGTGGAATAAAAGGGACTGAAAGAAGGTGGCTGCTGCTGCTTCTGGTGCTGATGTTGCTTGCTGCTTACTGCCTTCTACCTGCTTTGCCATGCCATGAACTATTTCTCCTCTGCGATGCCCCTCCTCTGGCAGGCCACCCTGCCTTGGAGCCAGCCAATGATGAACTGAAACCTCCACAAACTGTTACCCAAATAAACCTCTCCTCCTTTAACTTTGGGTGTCAGGCATTTTGCCTCAGCAATGAAAAAAGTAATCAGAACAGTGGCCATCAGTAGATGAACAGATAAAGAAAATGTAGTATATGTACACATTGGAATGTTATTCAGCTACAAGGAGAAACAAAATTCTGCCACTTGTAAGAAAATGGATGGCTCTGGAGATTATCATGTTGAGTGAAATAAGCCAGACTCAGAAAGACAAATATTGCATGTTCTCTCTAATATGTGGAACCTCAAAAAAGATTATAAGAAAGTAAACGGAAGGAGGAGGAAAGAAGAGGGAGAGGATAAGAGGGAGGGGTGTAAGGGCAAGTAATGGGGAATGGACATGAGCAAAGTATACACACTGAGCACCCCAAAATGTGGGACTGGGGGAGGTGGGATTGCAGGGCGAATGGTGGGGGAGATAAGATAAGAGGGCTGGGGATGTAGTTTAGCACTAGAGTGCTTGCCTAGCATGCATGAGGCCTCGCTTGGATTTAATACTCAGTACTGCCAAGTAAATCAATCAATCAATCAATCAATAAGTTAAAAAAAAAGAGAAAATAATGTTTTGGATCTGGAAATGCCCTTCTCTGTGGAGATCGAATAATACAGTTCCAGCAGCTTAACGATGGGGAATTACATTCCACTGCTGCACTGAGCAGGACGTGTGACTGCAGCCTGATACCCAGGGAAGCCTGCTGATGTTTCTGGAAATTCCAACCAAAAAGTCAGAATCAGTGCTCCTAAGTGCTTTTCTGGGCTCTGACTAGTTTGCTGGGTGGCTCTGCGTGTGTCCTAACTCCCTGGGCCTCAGTTTTTCTGTCTGTAATATGTAGCTCAATGTAATAAAAGATGTGGAGAAAGTGAAAATAAATCAACATGTGTCATCTTTAGTCGACAAGTGAAGCTTGGTAATATCCATGTTAATCAGAGGACTTTTTCTTTCCTTTTGGGGAGGCGGGTACTGGGAATTGAACTTCGGACCTTGCACTTGCCAGGCAGGCGTGGTACCTGGAGCTACATCCCCGGCCCTCAAAGAAGTGTTTTCTTACCTTCGGACCAGTCATCAGGAAATTGTTCACTGACCTAGGAGAGAGAACAACCAGCGTATAATGGAGAGACACCAGCTTATCTCTGCCTCCAGGAGTAGTAAGCATCACTTCAGGAAGTATAATTCATTAGAAGAAAAGGAAACTAGTTTTATTAAGACAACATTATGCATAATACTCTAAAGATAACTGATTCAGAAAATTGGAAGTAATATTTAATTTTTATTTTGCAAGCGAATTCTCTCAGGACAGACATTGTTAGGAAAGAAAGCAGAACAAGACAAAAAGTGAGTGACAAAGACACAGCTTTGCCACAGCCTAAAGATTCTTCCCGTGAGAAGATTCTGTGTTGACACTAGAAGGAGTGAAGGGCAGCAATTGTAGAAGATTCTCCTCTCCCAGGAGACCCTAAAATACATAGATCTGTGTAATACATTGGTGTAGCCCAAGTGATTAATCAATCAGATTAAACTGCACACCTGTCATGGGAAAAAATGACAAAAAAGCCCCATAAAGAGACTTGTGTCATTAATTCCTGAATTATTTGCAGACACACTTACACCATGGCTGGCTCACTCGTGTCCACAGTGTGCAGCGTTAGAAGAGACTAGTGAGCACCAAAGGAGGAAGGGCTTGTTCTTGATTAAGGAGACAGTGGCTTGACGTGCTTTGGAGGGAGTGAAATATAGAGTGCAGGGAGCATAGTGAATGTGCATTGTGAGAAGATGCAAAGAGAGCCAACGGAGGAGTTTGAATGTTTGTATGGGTGTCACATGGGACAGGCATGGGCTTGAAGGAAAGATGCTAGCAAACGTGAAAGACATAAAATTTGTATAATAAACTGTGGCTTCTCTACAGACAGAATGTGATACAACCACGTTTTATAGATGTGATACCAAAAGCATAAGCGACAAAAAAGTATAAATAAATTGGACCTCATCCCAATTAAAAACTTTTGTAGTTCAAAAGATACTGCCAGAGCCCCTTGTCGGGGTGCACGCCTGTGGTCCCAGCACTTGGGAGGCTGGGGCAGAATCAGTGTGCGTTCCAGGCCAGCCTGCGCCACTTAGTGAGTAGTTCAAGGCAGTCTGCAGCACAGAGTGAGACCCTGTTTCAAACAAAACAAAACAGCCGGGGATTTAGCTCAGTGGTTCTGCTGCCTGCCTTGAAAGCACAAGGACCCAAGTTCGATCCCCGATACCAAAAAAACCCCCCCAAAAAACCAAAAACAAAAACAATCAAAACAAAACAAAAAAACCCCAAAACACCAAGAAAATGACCGAACAGAGTGGGAGGAGAGCCAGGTGTGGTAAGCACAAACCTGAAATCCCAGCACTCTGGGAGACCCTGTCTCAAAATAAATGGAAAAGGGCTGGGGATGTAGCTCCATGTGAAAGCCCTGTGTGCAACCCTGGAAAAATAAGATAAAATGTTTAATTAAAAAAGAAGAAAAGAGGAGGAGTGGGAGAAAATATTTTCATATATCCGGTAAATAATATCAGGAATATAGAGAGAGTTCTTAACAAGAACAAAGCAACTCAGTTAATAACTGGACAAAGAACATGAGTCAACATTTCTCCGAAGAAGATATACAAGTGACAATAAGCACATGAAAAGATACTCAGTATCTTTGGTCATCAAAGAAACACAATAAGAATTTGCACTCACTAAGATCACTAACATAAAAATCACAGGCAACCAACATTGATGAGGAGGTGGGGAAATCTGAATCCACATACGTTGCTGGTGAGCTTGTAAAATGGTGCAGATACTTGTGGAGACAGTCTGGAAATTCTTCAAAAGATTACATAAAAAGAGTTACAGTATAACCCAGCATTTCTTCTCCTAGGTATGAGTATGTTCAAGAGAATTGAAAACATATGCCAAAAAAACTTGTACGTTAGTGTTCATAGCAGCCTCACTTGTAATAGCCCCGAAGCAAAACAACCCAAATGTCTCTCAGTTGAATGGGTAAATAAAATGTGGTATATCCGTAATGGAATATTATTTGGTCATAAAAAATAAAGCACTGCCACATGCTTCCACATGGATGAACTTTGAAAAGATTATTCTAACTTAAAGAAGCCAGATGTAAAGGCCACTCATAAACTGTCTGACCCTATCTATATGAAGTGGCTGGGCAAGGCAATTCCACAGAAACTGAAGCAGATTGGCAGTTGTCAGAGGGAGGGAGAGAGGAGCGTGCCTGCCGGAGAGTAAAGGCTTTGTTCTTGGGGTGATGAAATGATCTGAAGTCTGTTCTGATGAGGGTGCATAAGTCTGGGAATCTACTCAAAACTGCTACTTTAAAGGCCTGAAGTCTGTGGCATGTATACAGTACTGTATTCCAATAAAGCCACCATCCTAGAATTCTTGAATGCAATGCAGAAGCCACAGCTGGAACTTCTTGAAACATCACATCAAAACTTTCCTGCCTCATACTGAGGTTTCCCTTTACTACCTCCTATCAGACTATAAATACAGGCACCACAATCACCTTTGTTTCCCTCGAGCTCCTTGTATACCACCTTGAACATAGGAAGTGCTCTAGACAAATGGGTTGGATTAAAGGGTTTTGGGAAAAAAGGAATGAAGGAATCATCAGACCCAAATGAAAATCTCAAAAGATTAATGACTGGAAAAAATATTGCAGGATATGAGAAGGAAGTCTGGCCCGAGCAGGGCTGCTGCTGATGTGTTGCAGAGTGGAAAGATGCCCCTGGGGCCTTAGCAGATGATCACGCCATGAGGTGACAGGCCCTGAGCACTCAGCGTGTAAACACAGAGGCTGGCACTGTAATCAAACCTTTTGCAAAGTCGATCCTACCCCCTTCACACTGTGCACAATTGTCATTGCGTCTCATAGTATTTGGACATGAATGGTCCATAATTTGCATAAATAACTGTACTTGGCTTAAAAACATTGCCAGGTAAATTTTTTGGTTTGTTTGTTTTTGAGATAGGATTGCACTAGGTAGTTCAGACTTGTCTTGAATTCGCTACATGGCACAGGCTGCCCTCAAACTCGTGGTGATCCTTCTGCCTCAGCCTCCCGAGTGCTAGGATTACAGGCATGTGCCACCACGCCTGCCTAATACTTTTAAAAATGTTTTTCCAAGTAAATATTTCATAATTATTTCTTCTCCTTTTGTTAGTCTTACAATATAACTAATATATATGATTGATATTTTATAAAGTATAATTCATGTCACATAACAATAGCCAAACTTATGGTGTGTATCGGGGATTGTCCAAAGTACTTCACCCCTCTACCATGTTTTGAAATTCTCATAACTCAATGTGTTAGGTATGATGCTCTGTATTCACTGTTTATTGTGTATAGACTAAATACTATTAAGTGTTTCATATGTTTGAAGTTCATCTGATTATTACAACACATATTTGAGGTAGAAATGATTCTATCTTCCATTTCATGGGTAGAGAAACTGAAGTGTAGAGAAAGAGCTTAACCTGCATCACCCAGCCAGTTAAGTGGCCAAGCTGGCACTTTACTTGGGCAGTAGGATTTTAGAACAAGTATTCCTCAACAGCTGTGTTTTTCTGCAGCCCATATTTCCCTTGCTCCTATTCCCCTTACTGATCCAGGACTCCTGACTCCTGAATCCCCACAGGAAGCCCAGGCCACACACGTCACTGCTGCTGTGTCCTTATTCTCTTGCTTCCCAGCCCTCTCTTCTGCTTCCAGGTCTACAGGATGACTGCATCTTCCTGGCTAGGGCTCTGCTTTATCTGGAGCCACCACACTGCTTGGAATGGGCTTGTTTGCCGGGGCCTGATGCTTCCATGCTGGGTTCTATGTATAAAACATAGGGAGAGATGGATAAAAGGGGACACTGTTTGCAGGAGTGGAGGGGAAGACACGTGGAATGCTGCACTTTTAGCTCAACTTTTCTGTGAGCCTAAAACAGCTCTAAAAAAGTAAGTCTTGCTTCTGGGTCAGGCCAAGGAGTCTTGCTCCTTGGAAGGAAATGTCTTCACTTTCAGAATATGCCTTGGGCACGAGTCCTGTGAGTCCCTGGCTCTTCGGTGAGGTTGCCAGGCCGACTGACTCCAAATCCTTTTTTTTTTTGTACCGGGGATCGAACTCGGGACCTTGCGGTAAATCCCTGGCCCCCCAAATCTTGAAAGTGGTGAAGCTTTTCAGTGAGCGGCCATGGCTAAGAGGAAGGAGGCTACAGCTGGCATCCAGACCGCAGCATGCATTGCGCTCTCATGGCCACTCCCCGTTTTCTCGACCTCTACAGAGATGAGCACCAGAATTTCAAAGATAAGCAAAGGCATTAAAGAAGCTTCGTGAAAAGGAGAAACTTCGTGGACAGGGAAACCAAGGAAAGAAGAAGGAAAAAGGCAGTGAATAAATAGTGTTAGCCACCAAGACAGAGAATGTCTTCCTCAGTGACCAGGAGAAGAAAGTGCACCTACAGGTTTCCACGTGTGAGAGGAATGTGATCTTCCGTAGTGAGCGTTACTTGGAGCACAATTATCTCGTGTGGAAGTCAAATCCAGTTAAACTGTGCCTGCTTTCTTGAACACATTCTAATTCTGCAAAATTATTTTGGCCTTGGTGGGGTTTTTTGGGGGTGGGGGGTACCGGGGATTGAACTGAGGACCTTGTGCTTCTAAGACAGGCAAGATGCTACTGAGCTAAATCCTTAGCCCTCAGCCTTGGTTTTATAATCTGAGGTTTACCTAATTCTCTAATGGGATGAATACATAATTTATTATTTAATGACTTGTTTGGGGTGCATATGGGATGTTGGGGAAGTGGAGAAACAACCTCATAAATGAATGCCCTGCAAAGAAAAAAGGTAAGTCTCTTTAAAAATGTTAAGTAGGGAGCCATGTCTTTTAGGCTCAGTTTTATTTTCCACATGATTATCGAGAGTGTCTTGTGTGCACAATGGCCTTACACAGCTTTTTCTTTTGGTGCCGGGGATCGAACTTGGGTCCTTGCACTTGGCCTTACACAGTTTTGCTAACATAGTTCTGTCAGTGGAGGCTCAGAGCACTCTGTGTAGGGCCCTCCAATTCCTTCATTGGACAGAAGAGCTGCTGACAAAGTCAGGTGACCAGCAGCGTTGCTGGGCCTTCTCAGTTCTCTTCTTAGAGCAAGTGCACTGGTGGGTGATACAGTCACTCAGTTCAAGAAATCTCTGGTGCCCACAGCCCACCAGTTCTCTGACACACCCAGATGTGTAGAGCCATGTGGTAGCCCTGCTTGGAGCCCTACACCCTACAGAGGCTGTCCTTTTGGGTACTGCCATCCATGCACAGGAGAGGGAGAGTAGAAAACACGGTCTAGCGGAGTCTCTGTCCTGTGCTGCCCTCCTGGGCTCAGCCTTCAGGGGCACTTGTGCCGTGTGCAGTGGCCATGGCCTCGGCCACTATCGACCTGCAGCTCATGGCCTCTCCCGCCCTGGGGTGACCCTCTGAAGAAGCAGCACCAGAGCTTCCTGATTTCACAGAAGACCCTCAGGCTCATTATTATCTTGATTCCTGGCAGTTTCCATCGACTGGAAAGCAAACCCATGGGGACTTGGGTCACCAGATAAGTAGGATAATTTCTCAGAAAAACCCTGAAGCTTTAGCCTCACTGTTATCCCCAGGACCCTGAAGAGGTGGCTTTGGTGACAGCTTCTCCCCCAGATCTGCCTCTAGCCTTTCTGTGAGCCCTGGTGCAGGAAGGTAGAAGCAACTGCCACACCCCACCAGCTCCCGTGGGCTGCCAGGGACCATCTACCCTCTACCGCTGTGCTCTCTGCCTCCACTCACAGAAATCTTTCATGAAGCAGCTACTCATTCACATCCTGCATGCTAGTCACCAATCCAGAAGTGAGGCTTCAACTTATCCTTTGTACTACAGTGTCCCTGTAAGCTTTTTTTTTGGTACCGGGGATTGAACTCGGGACCTTGAGCTTGCAAGGCAGGCAGCGGAACCACTGAGCTAAATCTCCAGCCCTCCATCCATGCTTTTTCAAAGCAGATTTTTAGTATGAGTCTCCAGAATTTGATGTTTTCGTCACAATACCCATATCTCTTTTTCCTAATATCCTCTGTTTCCCTTTGCTTCTGTGTCTCTTCATTTCCCCCATAAGTCTTTGAGTGACACTTTTGACTTCTCCCAAACCTTCAATCACATCTCTCAAAATCCTCAAAAATCAGGAGTCTTGAGGCATCCACAGGCATCCCTTGGGAGAGATCCTCAGTTGCTATGATTGAGTGGCAGCCCTGGGGACAGAAGGAGTGGTAAAAGCATGGGCTGAGGGTTTCCCCTGGAGACTGACATGGGGCCTCCAGGGAGGCAGGGGAAAGGTCCAGAAGGGTCCAAACTTCAGACAACAACTTCCTGTCAGACTGCATCTCCAATGCAGCTTCTGGTCCATAGAGCTCGAACCATGCCTGGCCTAGGAGAGCCCAGAGTCAGTTCTTCTGTGAGATTTCATGTGCTTCTTTGTCTTCCAGGACAGCACAAGAGCACACGTGCCAACAGGCATGTGCACATGCACACAATTACACAGTCAGAAGGTCTCACGGATAACTGTGAAGCTGAATCCCAGGCTCTCAAAAGTTTTCCTTACCACCCCTCTCTGATGATTCCCAAGGGTGTTTAAATGGGAGCAACCCACTGTACACTGAGAGGGAGTGTCCTTTAAAGGTAAAGTTTCGTTAAGGGCCAGGCATGGGGGTGCACACCTGTAATCCCAGCTCTTGGGAGTCAGAGGCAGGAGGATCACTGCAAGTTCAAGGCCAGCCTAGGCTACATAGTGTGTTCAAAGCTAGTCTGAACTACATGGTATGACCCTGTTTCAAAAAACCAAAAAAAAATTTTTTTTGTTAAGGGTGAACAGCATGACTAATTATTTTCCATTGTAAAGTACAAATAATTGAAATGAGGCCTTTTCTTATAGAGCTGGGCAAAGGGAGCAGGAAGCAGAAAGTGCAGACAGCTGAAGTCTTGCAAGAAAGAGAAAAATTCAGAATTCCAAAGACCAATTTACACCTATTTAGGAAAGTGTCAGTGAGGAGCAAAGCCAGTATCAGCAGAGATCTCCCATGAGGGCCAGGAAGGAGGCCCTGTTTCAGGGAGCAGAGAATTAGGACATGAAGGCAGTTAGTGTGGACTCCTGGTAGGGTGTGGCACTAGAAGGAAGAGAGAAAACAAAAATGGCCGTGACAGAGACTGGGGTTAGGGAAGGCGCATAAAAGGGGAAACTCAGGAGTGTGTGGCTCTGGGTCACGCTCCCCTGTGCAGTTCACTGATTTAAACTCTATCTCTTTCAACTGTTTCTTTTTTCAATATAATAATGAAGTACATTAATGCATGAAAAAATCTTGTAAATCAATTAGCTAAAAAAGAAAAGCTTAAAAGGTATGTCCATTTTATGTGTGTTTTTTGTTTTCTTTTTTTTTTTGGTACCGGGGATCGAACTCGGGTCCTTGTGCTTGCGAGGCAGGTGGCGGAACCACTGAGCTAAATCCCCGGCCCGAGGTATGTCCATTTTAATAATAGCCTTGGGGTGGGGGGTGGGGATTTAGCTCAGTGGTTCTGTTGCCTGCCTCGCAAGCGCAAGGACCCGAGTTCGATCCCCAGTACCAAAAAAAAAAAAAGCCTTGAGGGGCCAGAGATTTAGCTCAGTGGTTCCACCACCTGTCTCGCAAGCACAAGGTCCCGAGTTCGATCCCCGGTACCAAAAAAAAATAGTCTTTAAGTCAACTGTCTATTAAAATCCCACATCTTCTCAAATCTAGCCTTTACCAAACAACTATTGGCAGAGGCCAAGGAATGGCCCTGGGACAGCTGTGTACTACAGATCTCTGCAACGCCTTCTCAGG